TCGAAAACGTAGATACCCTCATGTGAGTTTCATATAATGAAATTAGATTGATTTTTATATATTTATTTTAAAATTATTTATATTGTTTTACATTTCCCTTTAATAATTAAATTGGAATGGCGTAGTATTGTTATTATACCTGTTAAAAAATATAGAGACTAAAGAGTATTTCCCTGGAGCACAGAATGTTAAGTAAGAAAGGACCACTAATGATGCTGCCCGGCAACCTATAATTATAAAGGACAACTTGACTTAGAAAAAAGTTAACATTTTCGTTTTACCGCCAGCCATTTAATTAAAGCTAAAAGGAAATACCTGACATATGGCCAGAATTGAAAGGAAACCAACCGGGCCTGACAATTAAAATTAAATTCATTTCCCCTTGTCACTTGACGAAGGATCCCTGCTGTCTATTACAGACAGGACTTCTCTTTGTTTGTCGAGTATCGGATTGAGTGTTACTGTTACCAGCTAAATGTGAATTAGAATAATATCAAAGCATTGATTTCTCCACAATAAAGCTACCCAAGTTATCATGCTGTGATTCATTAAATATATAACAGAGAGTTAATTCTAAACTTACTAAGCTGGACAAGTTAACATACATAACATAACATACAGAACATACTTTCACTTTCTTTCCCTCTCCGCTTTTACCCTATATTTTAGCTCTTTGTTTCTTTTTGTATACAACAACTGCAGAGTTCTTCGTAAAGAATATCATGAAAATGGCGCTATGACACGCTGCGTATACGTAATCTGATCCCTTTGCTAAGACAATTGACGACTTGACCCCTTTTTGCTTTTTCTACATTCTTTTATCCCGCGATTCCGAATTTAAATCAAGCTAAGCAATAGGCGTAGTCACGTGCCCAGATTGGGAGGACAATTAGGGTGGCTCACCAATGTAGAAGATGTATTTTACTTCTCTAAGCCAATTACTTTTTCTTACAAATTTTTAATATTAAAGAGCTGGCATCAAAACAAATTTACGGGAGTGTATAAGAAATCACTAAGAAAAAGCGCCAAAATTTATTCCAAATTTTTATTATATTTTTTCAATGCATTTTATGTAATGTTATTCATACTTTAAGATATCTTTTTTGTGAATTAAGAAATCCTAGTGATTGCAAAGTATTTATTTATATACTTAATGGTAGTAGAGCAGTAGTAGCCTGCGATTTTTGGTTCTAGTATTTCAAATATACTTTTAACAAATGTTTATGTTTATTAACGGTAGCGTGTAAAAGACGAAGGATGCTTCGATCTCGGCACTGACACATTAAAATTGGATCAACTTACTCAATAGCTATACTACAGCAAAATAGCCGACTAAAAGGTCCACCCTAATACTGGTACACCTGTCTCGCTCGCACCTTCTTGTGAGTTTGCCTACATGCACATTCATTTGCTTTGAAGTGCAGTTAGCGTCATGTCAAAAACAGCTGTGTGGCTGAAATTACTGTTTTTGTGCTTACTTCTTATGTAGTTGTTGTTGTTGTTTGTGCTGGTTGTTGCTGTTGTCATTACCCTGCAGTACCTGTCATCAGTAATTCATCAACGTTTCCTCAACAGCGAAGGGGGTGCTGTTGATGATTCATCGATGACAGCCCATACAAACTGTTGATGAATTTAACATGGGCATGTCCTAGGCTGTCATCAATAGAAATTCATCAACAATAAATCGATGATTCATCATCAATTCATCGATGTATTGTTGATGACACATCGATGAAACATCGATGTTTCATCAACAATTCATCGATGTTTCATCAACAATTCATCATCAATTCATCGATGTATTGTTGATGACACATCGATGAAACATTGATGAAACATCGATGAATTGTTGATGAAACATCGATGATACATCGATGAAACATCGATGATACATCGATGAAACATCGATGAAACATCGATGATACATCGATGAAACAACGATGATACATCGATGAAACATCGATGATACATCGATGAAACATCGATAATACATCGATGTGTCATCAACAATTCATCGATGTTTCATCAACAATTCATCGATGTTTCATCAACAATTCATCGATGTGTCATCAATAATAAATTAATTAAAAAACATAAATAAGGGATTTCATATTTCAATTCATTCATTTTTATTATATCCTCTTAAAAACTAACATAATAAAATTAAAATTATACATAAAATAATACAAATAATCAAATTAAAAATATTTCTTATAATAATACAAAATAAATTTTAAAAAATAATAATAATTATAATAATTAACATTAAAAATTAAATATTAATGTATTGAAAAACGCTCGGACCACATTCTAACACGTCTTCATCCCTTTTCCTTTTTTATGTTGCGCCTCCAAATTTTTTGCGCAAGGAAGGCTTTTAGTTAAACGGTTGGCAAGTGGCTCCGTTGCATCAACTTGACTTATTGCATCTGAAAAGGAAAATTTGGAAAATAAATTGATATCAAAATCTAAACAAAAAATACATAATTACCTAAGAGTGCAGAGTAGAACTTCTTATGGTCTCGAAGCCTTTTCTTACACTTCGCACCATCGATGTATCACAATAGCTGCATGCAGACACGAAGTGGGAGGACGGGAAGATGTACTCAAAGTAGAAGACAGAATTGATACGAAAGTAAACTTTTTTTAAATCTTTACATAAAAACTCACCTGATATATAATTTCAATTATTGAAAACTAAACAGAATATTTATATACATATGTATGTAAAATTTTTTTTTTAATTTGGCCTGCGCAGTGCGCACACTTCTCACTTAGTTCACTGTTTAACTGCAAGTGAAAACACGAAAAGGCAATAGAAAAAAAAGGACTGTGCCTCCAACAACAAAACGAACCACGATCCGGAAAAACGGATCCTCAAGTCCGTTTTTTTCTCTTATTGTTCGTTTCGTTTCACAAAGTCCCGTTTGGCTATCTTGTGTCCGAGTGTTTTGCTTCCTTGTAAACAGGGTATAAAGGATATATCCGACGAGGCAACAAGTTACTTAAAATGTTATTGCAGCTTAAACAATTTTGTTCGATATGCAATTATTTTTTCATTCGCGTTTTATATTTAAAGAATATTTATTCCTAATACCATCATTATAATTGTTAATGATAATATATTATACACATAAAAATGCTAAATTTCTAGGGTGCGAAACAGTAGGTTCGATTTTAATTGTTAACTTATTTGCTTTTGGCTCATCTCACTCGTTTGAAGAGTGAGTGAGGCAGTGAGATAGGCAATCACCATGGCAGCATTAGAGCGTAGGCTCCGTACAAGTCGCAGTCGGCAGAGAGTCGACTTTATAGAAGTCGCAGCCGGCAGAGCGTCGACTCGGTAGAAGTCGCAGTCGGCAGAGCGTCGACTCTATAGAAGTCGCAGTCGGCGCGTTGATGACGGGTTGATGACAGTGGCTATTGATGACACGCGGTACTGCAGGGTAGAATCACGACGCCGACGTGACGTTAGGCGTTAGCGTTCGCTGCCAGCGGCAGACGTCGCGTGTTATTGCCCGGTGATTTATGCATTTTAACTGTTTTTCCATTACGTTTTCATGCAGCAGCTGCTGTTTGTTGTTGTTGTTGTTGTTGTTTGTGTTGCCTAATAAATTGTCTACAATTGTTCATTGTACATTGTTCGCAATTGCTGTTGTTGCAGTTATTGTTACCGTCGTTGGTGCAGTAAAGTCATATAATTAGCATTAACTGCAGTTGCCTTTTCACATTGGCCCTCCCTGACGTCTTAACAACATGCTTGCAACCATTGAAAAATATTCCTAGATTAAAAAAATATAGGTTACGCCAAAAGAGCCCGACTATTATTAGTACTTTACAAATCTATGTATTTAAATACATACATTCTACAAGACATATCTATCAGAAAATCATTCCCTAATAGAGTCAATGAGAACGGTAGTAATGCATATTGAAATTGATTCTAAACTGTAAGAAAATAAACCCTTTACAAGCAAGAGGAAGTTCTTGTCAGTTACCACTAGAAAAAGATTATAGTACTACATAATTCGGCGACCAAAAGCTTTGATTCATATACTACATGTACTATATGTTGGGAACGACCAAAACATCAGAAACATACATACTTATATAAATATTGATCACAATTTCAATTGAATGTAATGTACTAAGTCAGAGTGTATTACGAAGTGTTTATGTTAAAGGGAATATATTGTCTAAACTTTATTTATTACGTTTAGTTTGAGTTTACTAAAAACCTAACAACTCACTTATAGTTGGACTACTACTAGTCCAAATAATAATGAAAAAAATTTTAAAAGTATCAACGCCATTTTGTGTAAAGGGGTTCATGCCGAGTTGAGGAAAACATTTATTTTTTTATATAAATCTGATCTACATATGTACATATATATATTTTCGATGCAGTTAAAAAGTTATAGCGCTAAGAAGCATTGCTCTTCATAGCAGCCTACTCAAGCACTAAATTACATATTTTAGCAATTTTATTTCCTTTTTATTTTCATCTGGCTGTTAAGATAACTAAAAATTTAATTAACCGATCGCCTTTGAAATTATAGGGCATGTTAAGCACAGGTGTTGCTATTACAAGTAGTAAAATAATTGGAAAAGGCCTCATAAACAAAATTTATTTTTCGAAAACTTTACTACGGTCTTTAGCCAAAGACACACAGATTGTTATATGACATTTTGATTCTAAATTACCAAGTTTGACGTAATTGTTGTAGCCAGCGGACATTGTTTATCATACAGTACTTGATTGCGCTACAATTATGTACATCAATTATAAATGTTCTGAAATGATACTAAATATATGATAAAGAGCTATCTTTTCATCACCCTGAAAAAATAAATCCCAAAAATCAGTTTGTAAAACGGCTTTAATACGGCATGAAACTATTTCTTCTTCCCAAATTTGTAGTCACCCATAAAAGTATGCTATGAAGCCACTGTAAATGTCGTTGAGCATACCGAGTTTCTAATCTCAGTGGTGTAGTGTGTGTTGACTACATAGTAATCATTTCTGGGGACTTTAAAAATATACAAAAACAATAAAACAAAGCTAAACAATAAAAAAACGTTAATTTAATTTGAGAAATGGAACAGAAATGGGATGCACACGCCGCGCAGGCTTCCGCCTTTTTTATGAAATCCAGCACCGGAGTCACTTGCCGCGTTCTAGCCACCTCGGACATCGATCTGTGGCAGACCTCGGAGGCCTTCTTCACCTTGATCACATACCTAAACGACCTCAGCACCGAGATCCAGGGAGTCCTTGGCACAGCCGACTTTCCCGTAAGCGAGAACATACGTCGTTTGACGACCATTTTTGACAAACTGGACGCAATAATCAACACGAGTCCGCCGGCTCCCCAAGTCGTCGATACCTTGGCCAGTGCTTCGCTGGATCTGGGGAACAAGGGCTACCGGCGGTTTTCACGGAGCATGCATAGGGACATCTACCAGATACTGGAGGGAGCGCTGCCAACGACGAAGTGCCGCTACGTGAACGAGCTGGGACACTACCTGTCGGGGGCCTTTGGCAGCGCCACAAAGATCGAGTACGGGACGGGGCACGAGATGAGCTTCCTGTTCTTCATGTGCGGCCTGTTCGAGGCGAAGATTTTGCGCCGGAGTGTGGATCTGGCCTCCTCCGGCTTGATCCTGTTCGATCGGTATCTGAAGTTCGTGCGCCGGATGCAGGTCACCTACTCGGTGGTGTCGGCGAACAGCCAAGGAGCCTATGCCTTGGACAAGTTTCAGTTCGTGCCGTACATCTGGGGAGCCGCTCAGCTGTGCTACAACGCTCCGTTCTCCCCCCAGAAAATGCTCGACAAGGATACCATGGAGCAGTACAAGGAGTACATGCTGATCGACTGTGTGCGTCATGTGGCAGAAACAGAAGTTGGCCCCTTTGCCCGCCACTCCAGTCAGCTCTGGAGCCTGGCGGCCCTGTCCTCATGGACGAAGATCCATCGCGGTCTTATGTTCATGTACATGGAGGACATCCTTCTGGACTTTGATGTGCTAAGTACACTGGGCTTCGGTGAACTGATGTCCTTCGAGAAGGCAAAATCTGGCCGACAGCTGGGACATGCCCGCCTGGGAGTAATGTCCCCACTGAGCTGCCAACAGTCCTCCTCAAGTTCGAAGATTGACTTGGCCGCAGCGGATAATGTCTACAGCGATGCCCTGTCCAACAGCGGATTGTCCATGGGCAGTGCCTGCTCATCGCTCAGCGGCGTCAATATCCACCTGCCCACTTGGATAGAAGAGGAGTCGCCCAATTAGCAATAGTTGTATCCAGTTTTGTGAACAACAAATTAAATTATGTTCGGTCTGCCGCAACGTCGTCTTAAAGTTTTATTTCAGTGCAGTTTAATCTTCAACCCCATAATAATGTTGTAAAATTGATAAAAACATGTCCGTGACATGACACTTCTGTGTGCAAAATCACATTTTAATATAAATAGCATTTGCCATAAGCGATTGCCCAAATTACAAGGGGAAGATCAATCCACAAAAAACAAAGAATTAGTCTACCTCAAAAAATACAAGAATGTAAGTTAAGTATTTTAATAGTTTCTTTAGTCATTTATCCGCTACAATAATTACTGCTTCATGTTTTTAAGGTATTCCCGAAAGCAGCTATATTTAATTTTACTTAATATTGCCCACTTTTTGGTTAAAACTAAGAGAAGAAATGGTAGTACAATCATTCAAATTTCATTATAATATGACTTATAAAGATTACGGTCTGAACAAATGTTTGCAGATAGTCGTCTTCATTGCTTAATCATTAGCATTTACTTAAGTCTAAACGGGACAGTTTGGAATAATATTGGCATTGGCTGTTGTAGGATCGATCGGTAAATGGTAAGGAAAATCTAAAACTCTAAATGCAAAAAAATATTTTTTGTATTTTAGTGTCATGTAAAATAAATTCCCATACGTGTAAAATAAAGAGAAGTACCTAAGACGAAGGAAACCCATAATGAAGCCGATCTATTAACGAATATTCAAACTAGATCTTTGGAAGTAAAGCTGTGGAATCTAGTTAATAAATTTACAGAAAAAACGTAACCTGTGCCACATTAATATTTAAATTAAGTTTCTTTAAAATTTCCAAGCTACTATTTGTATTATTTCTTTATTTTTATTAACTTTTTGACTGATGATTTAATAATGTGACTTAGCCATGCTCATTATTAACTTTAAAAATCTTACTTATTTCTTTATAAAGTAGTTTAGTTATTTTATTGTTTTCATCTTCCATAGGTTGTACTACATGCTTGCCATGTATATATGTATATATGCTTAAACAAAAAATGTTTATTTTTAATTACGAAATACCCCAAGTGATGGCCAGGATATTCAGTTTTTCGTTAGCAGTTATCCCCTCGCGTCCTGGGACAATTTATGTATGTCAGCTGCATACATTTCCGTGGACGACATCTGCGACATGGCAACGATGTCAGGAGACCGGCCGACATGAGTCCAAAGATCAGCAGACCACAAAACCGTGTTCCATCAAATGCAAAACACCAGCCAACTGGAATCGAGTGGGTTTAAGCTGGGTGGCTCGTGGTCTTGGTCTTGGGGGCAAAGCTCTGGCTGTGAGTGCCCCAGGAATACAGCGTATATGCAGCGTGGGCCACAGGAGGAGCACTCGAGAGCAGCGAGGATGAAGTGCGAAGAGTCGGTTCAAGTGACTCGGCCGAAAGCGGATTACCACCGCGACTTGAGTGACTTCCCCAAGCAGGCGATGGCGGCAAAAACACCCGAAGTGGCAACAATTCAAGCAGCCGCAAAGGCGAAATGAGAAAATGGGAAAAAGGAAATGAAAATGAAAATGAAACAAGCGGTGTATTGATTTTTCCCTTAACCCAACTCCCGGGCGCTGTGACGTCAATGGAGCAGCACGCGCCAACATCGCGGGTCGGCAAAAGTGGTTGGAAAATCGTTGGCAGTGGGAGGAGTGGGAGTGGAGGCCTGCCACCTGAAATCCTTGTCAGGCCTCATTCGTGTGATTCAAATTAATCAAAGAAACGAGTATCCCAGGTGGGGGGATGGACATTCTTTCCATTGTTGCGGGATGAAAAGTCACCCATTCAGAATAAGTATGTGTTCGTTCAGTTTAATGTTTGGCCAAGTGCTCGTAAAACCTGATTTATAAGCGAAATGAAGCTTGCGAAAGTGAAATGCAAACGATATTTAAGGCTTATGTGTTTTTCCAAATACAAGTCAAATAGCTAAGCCTGAGTATTCTTGACTTACACATACCCTGTTTGCAAAACTCGGTGCATATTCATTTGAATGAAAGAGTTGTTTTTACGAGACACCCATCTTAGACCATCTTAGACGAGTCCGAGGTCAAATTATATAGAAGCTCAAATATACACTTTCAACATGTATTACGATTTTAGTAAGACGAGTAAAAATCCAAAAAATAAAGCTATTGAGTCATCGAATGAGTACAAAACTCATCAATCTGATGTCTATATATTGCAAAAGAAATCCAAAACTCAGATGAACAAGTTATTTGGCCAGACACTGGTATTCCGTTGAAAAGGCAGCAGAGATGTCATAAAACCAGGGGAAAAGACAAACTTGCATGACGTCGTTACCACCACCGATATGATGGCATTTTCTTTTCGCTTTTCTTTGCAGTGGGCGTGGCGAGCCCATTCGTCCAGCCATCCAAGAAGCTTGTTATAATTTTCATGCGCTATTTAACATAATAAAGCAATAAGCTGCCACACAACACTGAAGAATGAAAGAAGAGCGAGAAGCGTCGGCAAACATTTTTATTTATGCCATTCTGCCTGCCCTGTCCCCTTCGTTCTGGGTGCGTGTTTGTTTTGTGTCAACTTAAATGCAAAAGAACACAGAGGGAAACTAACTATAATAAACAAATGTGCAGGCTTAAGTAAATATTTAAACAAGAAAATATGAAGCGAATTACGGTCTGCTCCGGGCCACGAGTAGTGGCTGTTCCGCAGAGTACGGATGCTAAGTGGATTACCCAGAGTGTGGATAAAATGTCACAGGACTTGAACTAATGGTTCCTGAAACTGATATCCGCTAAGGATAAATACTGGGCGACACCGCCATGTTGGGTTCCAACTGGATGACGTTATGTTCACTTAGATTCTGAGCACACTTCTTGTTTCCAGCAATAAATACACTGATTTTATAAAAAATAATAACCTTTTCGGTTAAAAAAGTTTAGCGCACTTTTAAAAGTCATATTTGTTTTTTTATATAAGCTAAAATAGTTTCATCTACCGTAACTTATAGATCATAATTATTTTGTGATGTTATTATTTTAGCAAGAGGCTATATTCGATAGTAAAGACACTCTTGTAAAGATCGTGTTAACAAAAGCTCTTAAAAGCCTGTCTACTGGTCCACAATGTATGTTCTATGAGTTCGAAGATCCCTTGAGACTGCTACATATTTTGTTGGTTGGTTCTATTTTATAAGCCCTTGTGCCCTTGGGTGTCGAATATAACTATTTACTAGTGAAGATATTAAGAAATAAAATATGATTTCTTGTCTCTATTCTTTGTGCTCTACCTACTATACTATACTAAATTTAGTATTCAGAAACTCCAGAATAAATACTAAGAAAAAAGGACTAATATTTGCAGAAGATAAGTATTACCGAAAAACACAAGATGTTTGTAAGCGCGTTATAATGATTCCCATTGGTATTTAAAATATAAGCTAATATATATATTTATTTTCTTTGGATGATGCTAAACTGAGCAAGGACATGAACACTCTCTCTCTCTCTCTCTCTCTGGTCATGAGGCTATATTCAATGAGAATCAACAAGGATTGCTAGCGGCTGATACGACTGCCCTCCGGAAAGATCCTCTGGGGCATCGACACTAGCACGTAGAAGGGATTCGTTTTAATGCGAGAACGGCCACCTGAGCTGTGAAAAAGGACACACACGTAGAAGGAAACCAAAAAGGATAATTAAAGGGCGCTCCTGGGCTTTGCATTTCAAACAGTGCGTCTCAGTAGTGTAAATGTTCATTGAATACAACATTATATATACATGAAGGCACTGTTATCCTGTTATTCTAAATAGCTTTCAAAGCGCCAAAAGTTAATACTTTACACTTTAGTTAAATAACAGATGTTTTATAAAATCCTTAATTTTTGTTAAGCATAAAGAAGACATTAATGTGTTTAGTTTATTTCTTTAAAATGTTTAAATTAAGTTTATATAAAACCCCCCTTCTGGTAAATTGATACTAAATACAAATTTGCTTAGAATTAAGATATTAAATGTTAAAATGTTATTTAATGTTAAAAGATTAATATTTATCAAGGACTTAAAAAATACAATTGCAATCCAGCTGAGAAAAGGTTGCATATATATCCAGATACACGTATGAATGGCAACTTGATGCTATTTCTCTAACCGTAGTGTGCGACAGATTGTCCTTAGGATAACCCCTCGGGGAGAAAGGACCCTCGACACACGCGCAGACCGCTGATGACTGGCTAATTGCGGACTTTGCTAAAATTAATTTCCCAGCTTCTAATAATATCACCCAAAGGAACGGGTTGTGGGGAAAAGTGGAACTGTGGAAGGGCGGGAAATACTTGTTGTTGCACGTGTTTAACGCGGCGTATGCGTAATCTGCTTGGGTTACACCTGGCAGACGGTGAGATATGGGAGATATCCACGCAGTTGTTGTTTTCATTTGGCATTAGGCATCCGTATTTTGTCATTGGTTACCTCAACAGTATCTATAGGGCTACGTCTAATCGCCGTAATTATCTTTTATGAAGAACAAACTTACTAATTAAATTTCATTCGCTATTTGGGCAGGATCTCACTTGGCACATAATTGATTTAGCCAGCCGTAATAATTGCAAATTGCTTTTAATTGTTTTCGCCAGAGGCGGACAAAGTGTGAGTGCCGACGACACTAGAAGCCCGTCATGTGCGATATGTGTGGTACTCGGTTTATTGCATATCGCATTTGATTGGATTAACAAGAAAGGTTTTGGTCGTGTGCGGGAGACTCCGAAGGACTTAAAAGCCAATCAAATTCAATATCTCCATTGCTATGTAGTTCATAGTTATGTTGCTGATTTAATCAATGAAATTGCAATTGATTTTGGTAAAAAGCTAGGATTAAAGAGTGCATGCATTCATCAAATCGTACCATTCGTGAAATACGTTGGTGTTTTAAATGTGCCAAAATGAAAAATAATATCAAATAGCTAAATGTGTTAATTATCATTTAATAGTTATATCCAGGGTATATCATTTTGTCAGTAGTAAGCAATGTTAGTAAAGACATATTTCTAATCCTTAAAGTATTTATATTTAGATCAACATCAACAGACATGTCAGTCTTATACGTTTTAAGGCAAACGTGTCTATCAGAATGCAATTTGTTCTTGCAAATATATTATATGCAAATTGTAAATGTTATGGGAACTGTTTAACTTAACCTAACTAACCTAACTAGATAATGTCATACGTACATTCAAAACTGCCTTAGGAGGTAGTTATTTGCATTTTTAAAGTTGCTACCTTATAAAGATATTTTCATTTAACTGCTTAATTTTCTAATTTTTATGAAAAAAAGTACGTTTTGTGCTTCCAATTGATACGCTTTATCAGAAGCATGTGTGAATGATTTTGTATAAAAATTTATTTTTTATACGATTTTCGTAATTTAAGGTTACTACCTCAAAGTTGTGTGAAAAATAATTGGTGCAAAATCGGCTTAATTCTATATACATACTTATATGGAAATTCTCTGGTGTCGAATACTACATTCGTACATGTGCCAAGAATTTAAATTAATTCTACAAAATTTGAAACTTATAGCTCTTGGTTGGCACTATAATTGGTGCTAAGATCGATTTTGTGCCCTTGTTCGTTTTCAAGATATTCATTTAAATGTATTGCATTCGCACGCGAATGCAGAAATTCTATTTGCAAGAAACCAGTTTAAGCTCTGATTTCAGAGAAGCGTGACTAAAGATCGTAATGCAATAAATTTTAATGAATTATGCAAGTAATTATCTTAATAATGTATTTTGTTAGACTTTAAAATATTAAGTATTTATTTTTTAAATTCAATTTTAGTCCCGGTCGCACGCGACATTTTAGAAACCGATAATTTAAATTAAAACTGTACGAATATTGGTCGCATATGTTCTTTGGCACTTTATGTTGACTCTTTGCATTCTCTGTGGGATATAAGAAAGCAAAAGTCAAATGCCTTTTTTTAAGAGATTGGCATCAAAACAAAACATGACTTTTTTAATGACTTGTTTTTTATAAAAATAACACAAATTACGTTTACGCGTGTTTGACATAGATTAATTAAATTTTTTTTAGAAAATGAAATTAGTTTTTATTCGTTTTTAAGAACTTTTAATTTTTTTTGCCCATTCTCCAAATTTCCACACCTAAAGTAATGCTTATTTTCTTTTAATTAAATCAGAGTGACCCATAAGACTTAGTCCAAACATAAATCCATTAATAATCCTTGGAAATATATTTACCTTGGTGTAGCTCTCTGTGGACCTGATGTCGTTTATGGTCCATGGCAGCATGGAGGCGGAATAGCGCGGATCGACGGACGCACTGCCGCGATAAGTGAGCGAGACCAGACGCGTTTTCATCTCGTCTGTCACCTTTTTTCGAACGGAAGTGTTTATTTGTTCGATTTTATTCACTACCGTGTACAATATCTGTACGATAAACCGTTAAAATTGTTGGCCAAATTGAGTTACGGGCCATTTATTGACTTTGCATTTTATTTGCTGTTTCGCAAATAGCTTTTTAATTGTGTATATTGTGTGTGTGTGTGTGTTTTTTTTTTTTGTTTTTTTTTTTGTAGCGTGCTGTAGTAAAGAATCGAAATCAATATTTTGTGGACACGCGGCGAGGTTTTCGCATTCCCTGCCAGCGAAGCGGGAGTTGCTGGTGGAATGCGGAGTTGCGGAGTTCGTGAGCAGAATGAGTCACCCAAAAAAAAAAAAGCAGGCGGAAAGGAAAGACAGCCCTTGAAGCGGACAATGACCACCTGACTGCGCCTTCTGCTGAAAAGGATCTAGTGGTGTTTCCCGTCCAAAGGAAGGCATCCGAGAAATTACTATCAATATTGATTTTTTTGCGCAGCCGTCTTTGTTTTTTCACATATTTATGCACACACATTCGCGCACAGGCCGCGCTCGCTACAATGAATCAACAACAATAGGCGTTACTTTATGGTTAATGCCAATCAATGGGCCAATTCTTGAATAAGGTTCTTATGCAATCAGCAAAGTTGTTCGTTCAGATGACAATTTGAGAATTTATGTATTTGAAAAAAGATTCTCTGCTAAAGTTTTTAAGGCTAATGTCTACCATAATTCATAGTAATTTATATCAACATGGAACATTATTTCTCATTTTTCTAAAATATGTAAAATTCAGAAGTTAAGTATAAAAATTATTTAACAATTGAAAAATAGCAATATGTTTATTTAGAATTTAGAATTTATTCAGAATGTTCACTGCTTAGAGCGTGCACTGTAAACATTTTTCCTTTTAGCATTAGGAAAAACATCGGTGAAGAGGGTGGAATAGAGGGGAGGAGGAGGAGGATGAGGATGAGGATGCAGACGAGCAACCACCAGACCAAGTAAGCAACAACACGAGACGACGAGCCACCCCAATGAAGGAATTTACTTTTGCATAAACTTTTTGCTTTTTACTTTTTACTTTCTACTTTCCTAAGGTTTCCGCCTCCCCTCGCCAAACAGACACAAACACACACTTAGCCACGGACCAACACACACGGATAGTTCGACACAACGTGTGTGTTCTGCTCTTCTTTATTTTGGAATTTTTGCAACCGAAAACACGTTGAAATGCCACCAAATTCCGCTGAACACTGACACTCGGGCTTAAATCGCGACAGCACTGTATTTCTCTATGTAGAGTCCTTCGTCCTGGCGCCCGATTGATTGCGTTTGCTGCGCACGCGCGTGCCCTCCAACGAAACGGGCCGTAATCAAACGAGCTATTGTCCACATTTCTTGCACCAGCGGGATTATTTGTCCGGATTAATGTATGTGCCGGCCAAGTTTTGTGCTTTGGGGCGAAAGCAAGGTGAGTTCAAAACAAATGCACAATTTTCAAATTGTTTACAGGCGATATAACGCAGTGTGGCCGTTGCGGAGAAAACTGAAAAATACCAGAGTCGCACAGAATGCACTAACCAGCTGGGAAACAGCTGTCGATCAAAAGCGTCACTCCCAAATATTGTTTTTATATGAATTTTAGTGTATTCCCTAAAAGATCGATGCCGAAAAAATGTCTCTGCAGTTCTGACGAAACTTTTAAAGAGTTATGTGAATATTTTTGGTGCCATTCTGACTTTTTGCCATTCAAAATTATAAATTGCGAAAACGTAAAACTTTATTGAAGCCTGAAAGGCGTCGAAGGAAATAGATGAATCTCTGTGAAAAGAAGCCGAAATCTTTTTGTATACGAACTGTCACTGACCATTTTCGGATCGATCAAGCAATTTTGATTACGAGTAATTAAAAAATTTAAAAAGCAAGCAGAAAACTTTTTTTCTTTTTTCTTTATAGATCTTACTTTATAATTTATTTTCATTTATTTATAGAATAGCACCCGAAAAAATTTCAAATACGAGTGTTCTTTTTCCAGAGTTCCACTTCCCGGTGTAATTCTTCAGCATTGCTATTTTGGGCGTGGGGTCACACTGAAAGGTTGTTGTCCAGGGAAGTCTGCAAGTCTCCAATTCTTGGGGCGGGAAGTGTGATGTTTTTTATATGTATTACTTAAATTTTTTTAAAATAAAACTATAAAATGTGTTGTATCTCTAAAAAAAAAAGGTGACTGGGGGCTACCACACCCATAAATTTTAATTATTTTTCCCACTGCCTTGCCTAATGTTATTAATTCTAAAAATTTATATTAATATATTAATTAATTTATATGTTTTCAATTAATTGTTTCTGTGTATCTAAGGGAAACTCTACACAAAATTCAGGTTGCAAAACCTTAGGTTGCGTCAGATTTTATTGGTAATACATATATTAAAATGAAAAAGTGGCAAGGAATTTGAAATTAATTATTTATTTTTAGCTTACAAGGAGCAATGCCCCGAAGAGTGCTAGAGGCACCCAAAATATTTTAAAAATAAAGTTAAAGTAAAAACTTAAACCTAAGAACTCAAAATTGCACCAATCAAATTTGGATAAATGTACATACATAGGACAAACTAAAAAAAATTAAAAAAGTCTTATAGTCCTTATAGCTTATAAAGAACCTGTTTGAGGGAAGGTAGATAAATCTTGTGGCAACATGATATTAGCAGGAAAATGTAAAGCTCTTTTAATAAAAGGGCCATTAAAAAAAGTAACACAGCTATTCTTCAACCGCCAAACTCAAGTCAGATTTGAGTGGAAGTGGAAGCACTCTGAAATTTTTAAAACGAGAAAAAAGCTTGGAAGTTACATATTTAACAAATTAATCAAAAACATAAAACTGTGCTTACCAGAGTAAAGTCACAGAACTTCAGGCAATCTCCCATATTATGGAATCCATAACTGTAGTACGGATTGATTTAAATGAGAAGACTCCGATGCAGTTCTTGAGGAACGAGTCGATAAAGTCCTGATGGAGTTTCAGCAAGTTATCAACTTTTTTTAGCACCTACATTTTCTGTATAAATATGAGCCAGTTGGGATAAATCGTTTTGATCATCATGTTATACTCCAGATTTTGAATGGCGTTCATATGTACACCTCTGCGGCCTGGGACTAAAACTTTTTAATAAAACTGAATAAGATTGGGTAGTAGAATAAAGTAAAATATCATCTTGCAATGCTCCATGTGCTTGAAGTTGTAGCACTGGTCAATGACGAGGTAGTTAAGCTCCAGGTACACAGGCCACTTCACCTAACAGGAAAAAGCCAAACCCTCGATCACACTGAGTCCAGGCGATTTTATCAAAGTATTTCACAAACAACGAGGGAGTAGGGAAGAGTATACCGATTTTTTCAATTGCAATCAGCTGGTTGCAATTTACCCGTTCATTATCTTACAAGATGAACCCTTGCTGGGCATTCCGCTGGCATTCACTAGGCAAAACTGCAATCATCGGGTCCGGAGCCGAGTTAAATTCGTTTTATAAATGTTATGAGCTTTATTAAAACATAAATAATCGAATTAACAGCTAAGTTGGAAACAATTCATGTGCTTGTTGTAATGGCAAAATGTGGAGACATGCGGGAATGATGACAATTGTTAAATTTGATTACCTAATACTTGGTTCCCGTATTTTCTGTTCTCTCATATGAGTGAGTAAAGTCTGCGCAGCTTTAGCCCATGGCATCCTTCATGCAGAGTTTATCCATTAGATCTGTGTAGAATCCGTTGAAGTTGATGCGGTTGACGAGATTCATAAAACGGTCGGCCGTGTTCTCTTTGGCTACAATGTTAATCTTCTTCAAAAACGAAATTAGTATTCCGGTAAACTCGAGATCGAATCGCTTCACCCGCTCCGAAAACGTATCAGTTGGATCCAGTGAGGTCTCCAGCTAGGAGGATGATTCGGAAAACAAATGTTAGTCAAAGTTATAAATAGAAATTATACAAATAATACAATAAATAATACGATAATATTATAAAGCTAAACACAATCAACGCAAATTTTCTAAATCCTTGCACAATAATCTACGTTTGGTCTGTATTTCAAGGGTAATTCTATGACTCTATGAAAGTGATACATAAATACTATTTGGCGTACTTCATTTCGTGCAATTATTGATACCTTCAATGAAATAAAGAATAAATAAATAAAACAAAACCATACAAAATAAAAATGTTATTTAAGAGGAACTGGCAGCCGTACTGAAACCTCAAACAACAACTAAAGCGGAAAAGGCAAGCACAAGCCCATAATACCTGTGGCCGGTGCAAACACTCAGGATCAGATTCGTCGGAGCTATCGTCGCTGCTATCACATACCATCGACTTGAGCTCGGCGTCCAGAAAAAATCGCTGCGAGCGCTGCATTACAAGGGCCAAGGAAATAGATATGTTTATGGAATTGGGTTCAGATTCAGAGTTGGTAATGGTGGCAGGCGGGGCGAGTGGTAAAGATTTTGAGTGTGCAACAGCAGAGCAAAGAACAAGACAGAACAAAAGAATATAGTATATATGTACAAGAGAAGCACACGTTGCTGACAGCTCGATAATCCAACCACCAGTTCTGCCGGGGCTCACCTGGATGAAGTCACAGAACTTTAGGCATATCTTGCATAACTTGAATATGGCTCGATTTAGATGGGAGGACTCCGATAGCATGCAGTTCTTGAGGCACGAATCGATAAAGTCCTGATGCAACTGCAATACGTTGTCAACGTTTTCAACCGCCTGCATTTTTTCTATAAATATGTGCCAGTTGGGCTCAATAATTTCGATCATCATGTAATACTCCAGATTTTGAATGGCGTTCATCATGCGCTGACGGAGCGTAAATGCCGACCTGTACAGCTCTGCAGCCTGTGGCGAGAATTTTTTGGCAATGGAGTTCTCCTTCCAAATCCTGAATAGGTGAGAATAAGTCAAGAAACCGAATAAGATTGGATATTAGAATACGGATTGCTCGCGTCTCAATACTTACTTGCAAAGCTGACGCTCCACGTGCTTGCAGTAGAATAATTGGCGGAACAGCATCTGGTACTGAGCGATGGCGAGATGATTAAGCACCAGCGACACAGGCCACTTCACCTCGTAGGAAAAAGCAAAGCACTCGAGGCCTGTCAGGTCCAAACGATCCTGCATCTGCCAGTACTCCTCCTTCTTGTCTATTATCTTGGACATTTGAGTGACCAAATCGTAGGGAAGCAGCTCGCAGTGTAAATGGTCCTTGTAGGGATCGTCGCGGGCGGATGAGATGCGCAACGTGAGGCCCAGAAGGTTCTCCAGTGTCATGGGCAGCACTAAGTCCACGTTCTTGGACAGCTCATCCTCGCAGGCGTCCATAAATTGCATGGTAAAGTCACCCTGATTAAGAAGCAAATAGCGCTTAACCGACTGCAGGTGGCCCATTAGATCGTTCTCCGCCAGCAGCACATCCAGTAGCATGCGGGCGGCAAAGTAGTATGCTTCGTTTATAACGGATACGTGCTTCTCGCTGGTCGGATCGAATTCGAGGTGCATCTGCTGGGTAGGCATCACCCTTTTGCCACACTGCCGAACTACGTTCAAGTACTTGCCGGTGCGTAGGATTTTGTCAGAGTATTTCTCAAGGAAAGAGGGGATGTGGTCGCGCCTCAGGGTATACCGCTTTTCCCAATAACCGTCCGAATAGTGCCTCGGCAGCTGGTCACAATGGACACCTTCATAATCTTCGACGAGAAACTCCTGCTGGCGGTCAACGATCACACCCTTCTGGATCCATAGCTGCAGCATCCGCATGTACGGCTCGGCCGCCTTGCGCATCAGCCCAATAATTACTTCTTGTGCTTCGCGATCTCCCTCCAGCCGCTTGATACGCCCGTGCAGATGCGTTAGCACAGCGGCTCCCCGCAACTCACCCTCCTGCAAGCCAATCAGCGTCGTCCAGATCTCCTCCATCACCCAAGCCGTTGGCTGCATGTAGTAGACAAGCTTCTGCATCGTCAACTCATTCCTTTGCAGTTCCTCCTCCGCCTGCATGAGTAGAAGCTAGAGTGTGGAAGAAGAAGCGTGACCAGTTTTGCAGCAATGTTTTACCAGTATTCTAGTAGTCCACTTACGTAAAAGTCGTGGCTAATATCCGATAGTGCAGCGTTCAACGCATTAATCACCTGCCCCTGACCGTCCATGTCAGCGATCATCCTTTGGATGCCCACGAAGTGCGAGGCTAGCGGTATGATTTGCCTAATAAGCTCCGCCAGCGAACGGTCTACATGATTGTGAATGGCGAATTCCGTTTTATACCTAGCCAGACCACCGGATGGATCAGGCGGTATGGGCACGATGAACGGCACCCGAATACCCGTGAAGCAATACAGCAGCTGAGTGAGCATCTCGGTCTCCTGGCTTTCAATCGGCATCGCTGCAATCTCCGGGTCCGGAGCCGTGTTCTCGTCTACGTTGTAAAAGTCCCATAGACTGTGTGTTCGACTCTCTTCTGAAATACCTGTGGGAGTCGTAGCGGACAGCGGATTTACTATGGTCTTTTGACTGCTGCTTTTGAGTGACTTTTCGCTGGAGGGTGGGCGAAAGGTGCTCAAGGATCTGTTTGATGCGCCAAGCAGCAGGCGCTCCTTCATCTGGAAGAACACAAAAGCTGAGAAGTCAAGGACGACAGCACTGGCCATCCACTTACCAAGCTCAAATCGCCGCGCTCTCGGTCCTCCTCGCTATTTCCTTGGCTGCGACCCAACGGCAAGGGACGTGCAACGAAGAGTTCACCGGCGGCATTAGCATCAGAGTCCGCGGATTTTCGATTAATTACTGGCGTCGACGTGGGAAGGCTCAGCGAATCATGCGACACCTCCGCCAGGCTTGCCCTAGCAGCCGAGGATACTGCGATAGAGGATTTGCTCTGCAGGGGCGAGGTGATAGTAGTCATCTCGCTGTTCTTTAGACTAGAGCGCGGTGAAAGACCGTCTTCGGAGTATCGCTTGACAAACACGAGGAGTGCGTACATGGGATCCTTGCTGCGAAGGGAGACGGAAATCTGCGTGTTGGAGCTAGGCAGTAAAAACAGGAATCAGCGCACTCACCTCCTCAGGACCTGCTTGACCTCGGCGGCTACCTCGTCGCAGTTGGGCCGTTTTCTGCTTATGGTCGTCAGTATGTCAACAAGCTCATCAACAGACAGGCGCTTATCGTCCGTGGCACGAAACTCGCGAAGGATGCTGTCCGATGTGTACGGCGCCCTGGCAAAAGCAAAAACTCAAGTTAGACGCGGGAATTCGCATTGATCAAATCGGAGCGCGCAGCAGACAGACGTATACTGTGTGCAGTCGGCGTCGATGCAGCTGTGCACTCGGTACCCTTTAATGCACTCACTCGGACTCGGAGATCAGATCGCTGAGCACCTTGCGGGTCAGATCGCCTTTACTCATCGCGCCGTATATAAATTGTTGTTGCGTCTGCTGAAAACAACGGTGCAATTTACAGTTTAGCGCTTCGGGTTCGAGCAAAATCGAATCTGCCTGAGTGATTGTCAAACAAAAGATGACACTATCGGTATAATTTCAAAGTGTCACGAACAATGGTAACATTTCTCTCTGTTCCGTTACTGTTAATTTTTCAGTTTGCGAAAATTAAAAATTGCATGAGCATATATTCGCTTATTTTCAGCAAAACTACTAGATTGTTAACTCACCCAGAGTGATTTAATGCACGACGACAGGCAAGCAAACTAGACTAATAAAATTAAAAAAAAAATTTAAGAAAAATACCGAATGCAAAGATCAACTCTTTTCAGTCTTTTTTATCCGCTGCTAAATATGTTATAAGTTGAATGATTTTCTTTTATTTAATTGCGGTGTAAAGAGCGCCGAACACAATTTTAAAGCAGTCAAGAGACGTTCGGTAACGAAAAAACAGAATTCAAGAAATTTAATTGGCTTAATATCGGCAACTGAAAACTTGTGTTTCCATACAAATTTGGTCTTTCGATATTTTAAGCAACCCCGAGGTCAATAAAACGACTAAAACCAAGTTTGAAGACAGAGTTCGTTTTGGATTGCTAAAATAAATACAGTTTATATAGGGGGAACAAATTAACGGGCAACTTTTTGAATATTTCTCATCGCCGATATTTTATGTCAATGAATGATAAGAGCAAAATCAAAATAATATCAAATTAAATAAAATAGTCTTTATTCGTATATTTTATTCTTGCCCTCCCAATCAGTTCCTTCGAATATTTAAAATATACAGGAGATTCAAATCCAGGTGTTTGAAGGAGTATATAAGATTTTGATAGTTTAATTTTTGTTATTTTTTGGGATTTGCTCATTTCTTATTATTTGAATGGACCGGCGAAAAAGTTAATTCAATTTCTAAGCTAGAAGACTTTTTCATGCACTGTCATACCCGCATGATTAGGGACACTCATCACCAATTTATCGGTGTTTGTTATTTTAAACCACCTCTAAACAATCGAAACAATCGACTTACTCCCAGCTCTACTTATCCCCCATTCAAATCAAAAAAACGCGTCGATCAACAGGTGGGCTCTCCAGGTGCGTTCCCGTTTCCCCTCTCTTCGCTCATCAATTGGCGCCCTAGGAAAAAGACTAGGCAAAAAGATATCGTGTGTGGCTTGACTTTCACTACGGGTCAATCCGAGATCCCAAGCTCCGCTAGCTTGTTCGTTGGCTTGACTTGCCTTTAATTAATGCGCTTCGCACGCGTTGTCGCTGTTGTTTTAGCTTCAATCTTAGTCTCTGACGTTTGGCTATACAGCAGAGCTGTCGAGCAACAACCAACCCGTCTTAGCCGTGTTTACGATTTTCTGCAGATCGGGCTGTGCGAGCTGTGCGAGCTGTGAGCTGTAGCTTCGTGTTTTCGCCAACTTCTTTTCGTTAATTTCTCACCCAGAAAACAAAGTCGCAGCTCTGAAAAAGACCGTAAAAGAGCAAAGCTATGAAAAAATATGGCCATAGATAAAAACGGCCAAGAAGGAGAGCAGCTCGCAGGCGACATTGTGCGATGTACCGTTAGTGCGCGAGTGACTCTGTTTAAGCATAATTTAAATAATGGGGAAATCCGTACTCGTAATTGATTTAAGTAGCGCGGTGCAACATTTGCATAATTTTCCCTGGAAGCCTGGAAAATTCGCTCTTCCATGGCAGCAACAAGTGCCATTTCGTCTGTGTGTTTGTGTGTGTATGTTTGATGGCTGTGTGGTGCATCGGGTGCACGCGTGCGCATGTGTGTGTTCGTGTTGTGAACTTAAATGGACAAGTTAGAATCCACATTCCACAACAATGGCCAAGAAGGAAAAACGGCCGCTGATCTATTAGTTTCTGGGCAAATTTCAAAATAATTGCACTGTGCAACTGTGCAAATTGATGTGGAGAGAGCATTATATTTGTAATTTGCTGCGCAGCATCTGATGCGTCCATATACATTGTACATACAGTTGTGGTCAAGTGATTAGTTGAAAACAAATGCAAATTTTCTAATTAAATCTATAGATATATCCAAATATTTGAATAATCCAAATTCTTTTTATTTTGGTATTATGTTAAAAACTATTTTGACAAGAAATGTGTATTTACATTTGTTTGTATACCTATTACCCACACATTTACAATTGGCATTTGATGTCAAGCTGCGCTTATTATTGTTGTTTTTGTTGTCGCCGCGTTGAACTAATTCTATAACCTTAATTAGCATAACAATGAAGCATAAAAACAACAACGAAAATAGCATATGGACCATCTTCAAGCGTAGATGAAGAAGCCAGAAGAATTAGAACGGGTTAAAGTTGAACTCAGGAATGAAGAGAAGAAAAGAGGCGAAGATACGAAAGAATAACCTAGACAAGGCATTAGCAATTACAGGAAATTGAAAAATACAAATCCGGTATTACCTCCCCGATTAATTTAAAAAGTGTGGAATGCCGGCTTCCTCCAAAGATCAGAAGAAATCATGCTGAGACTTAATTAATTGCTTGTGTGTAGTATAACCTTGGAAAGAAAAGGTCCCTGTTTTTTGGGTCAATGAAAGCTTGACAAAGTTTGCAGTCATGTCAAAATACAAAAAAAAAACCTTTAATATAGTTATAAATACGAAACTTTTCCATTAAGTGCGGAAAGTGTATTAATTGTCATAGATATTAAGTGGAGTGTTAAGTATAAATTAATTGACAGTGTGCGCTTCAAAAACAGTTTTCGTTACAAATTTAAACTTAGAAATGCTTCGAACTTTAAAAATCCTATAAAAGCCATCATAAAGTAAAAAAAACGGAAAAATTGATTCTAATATGAATTTCTTTTTGGAAACAAATGAAAACACGATAATAAATTAGTAAAATATAGAGAAAAGTAGAAGATTGATATTAATAATTCACTTCAACTTGTTATTTAATAAGTTTTCTAATTCATTTGAAACACCCACGTTTATTAATTCAATTTAAATGTCAATCTAGTTCAAATTTAACTCTGACCCAATTTAATATTCAACTTTTATTACACTTTCGAGGGGGAATCCGAAGTCTGCGTTCTATTTTTGGAACCGCTACTAACTAATTTGGGTACAAAGCGCATAACTCATCTGCAGAACAATTGGATTTAACGTCTCGCCATTGTTTGGTCAAATATATTAACACTCCACATGCTGCTAGATCTTAGCCCACGTAGACCACGCCGCCGCCCACGGAACCGCAGAGAGCAGGCCAGCGAGAAACTGTAAACAGAGGAAAGGCTAGAACACTTTTCAAAGAATTCATAAGCACGCGCTAATGCGAATACTAATGCCAGGCACTGGCCGATCTGACCACGACCACTGCTCAAGACCAAGTCCAAGAATATCAGGCGAGACCCCTTCTACCTGTCCCCCCTGCCCCCCCTGTCCCCCTCTGTCTCTCGTGTGCGTGAGGTGTGTGGAAGCACCTGTTGTCGGACAACGTAACCGTGCGTGTGTTTGGGTTGCGTCTTATTAGAAGCCGCATTCGGCTATCCCCGGGCCAAGTCGGGAAAAATGAGAAAAACACAAAAATCGTACAAAAAAGAAACTGCGCTGAAAACCGGTTGATGTGAATGTGAAAATGAAAGAAAACCTTTACAGTAAAGCTTCTACGTTGAACTGAGTTGAACTTTGAAAGTCAAATTTAAATATGTTAATTAAATCATTCTAATTAAAAACTTCGAGCGTTAAGTTAACTGGTTAAATATAGGACCAAGTTATCCAAGATCCCTTAACATAACTCTCATTACGAAACAGAATGTTTTTAGTATAGATATATTTTCCTTGGCCTTGTCAGAAACTATTAAATAATACTGTTTATATTTGTATTGATTTATAAACACAAGTAAGGGCTCAGCCTCAGAGGCTCAAATGCCACATTTAATAGGATGTTAAATACTTTTGTGGTGGGAAAATTAAATACGTAAATATTAACTTATTTGCATTTGTATGCGTGCTTCGTTCAGTTTAAAGAGGCCTGACTGTAATATTTATTTGTATCCCAAGCTTGAGATGTCGCTGAAGAGTTGGTTTTTCTTTTTCTGTTCCACAGTTCGAATTTGGTGAAATCAATGCGTAGAAAGTGAATCGCAAGGCTTACGCAAAAGTCGGGGGAAAAGTGAAAAGCTGCGGAAAAGTGGACTTACCAAAAAAAAAATAATAAAAAAAGCAAATATATTTGGATACGGAGTTCGCGATTGCGTTTTCGACTGCGATCTACCTGCTGCCTTAATCGCGTGCCTCTGCAACTGCAATCAGCTGACCGGAGGCGGAGCGAGAGCTGGAACGCACACCTGGGCGAACGTCGGCGCCCACCTGCCGGCTTAGATGCGTCTAATCCAAACGGCAACCGGCGGAGCTGCTGCGACCGTTCTGCAGTCGCACTCCCAGTCGCAGTACAACTACACCAACATGCGTGAAGATGATATCGAGCTGGCCATTAAAGTGGTAAGTTGCCCAGCCGGCTACGTGCATCTTCTCCATTAGGAATGATGAATGACTGGAGCGAGTGAATGGCACTGGCACCTGAGAGATCAGTTCTGGATTGGATTCGTCATGGATGATGCTAATGGCGAAACTGCTCGGATTAAGATTCTTGTTCAATTAGGGTTTTTCCTGTTGCTTCTAATAGCTTTGTGCGATTGCTTCAAAGGCATTCCACATACTTATCCATAAATGTCTTTTGTCGAAGTAAAATTGTAATGCACTTCACAATTATAGATTAACTGAATAACTTGCCCGTTTTTAAGTATCCAATAGAACTGAATTTTTCCTGACTAACTAGATATCTTGATATCAACCTAAGAGGGCATCTAAAAAATAAATTATCGAATTCAGCGTATATTTTTTCCACAAAAATGAAACCCAACTTATGGTAAAATCAAAAGATTAAATTTCCTAAGATGTCACGCTAAGTTTCTCTACACCTTTGGTTTGTAACTTAAAATCTTTATTTTACCAGCTACTAATTCTCCCCTTGCATTTGTTCACAGGTCATTGTGGGAAATGGCGGCGTGGGCAAGTCGTCGATGATTCAGCGTTATTGCAAGGGTATATTCACCAAGGATTACAAAAAGACGATCGGTGTGGATTTCTTGGAACGACAGATCGAGATCGACGGTGAGGATGTGCGCATTATGCTGTGGGATACCGCCGGACAGGAGGAGTTCGACTGCATCACCAAGGCCTACTATAGGGGGCCCAGGCTTCCGTGCTGGTCTTCTCCACGACAGATCGAGCTTCGTTCGAGGCGATCAAGGACTGGAAGCGCAAGGTGGAGAACGAATGCAATGAGATACCCACAGTGATTGTCCAAAACAAGATAGATTTGATCGAGCAGGCTGTGGTCACTGCTGACGAAGTAGAGACACTGGCCAAAATGCTGAACTGCCGCCTGATACGCACCTCCGTCAAGGAGGACATCAATGTGGCGTCCGTTTTCCGCTACCTGGCCACCAAGTGCCATCAGCTGATGACGCAGAGCTATGAGCAGGCCGCCGGAAACCAGCAAAACTCCAGCCATCCGCCCTACAGCAGCAGTACGCCGACAATCAGCGCCTTCAGTCCAACCTTCACCAAGTCCAGTAGCGGCACAATTGTGCTTCGCCCGGCCAAAAAGGGCCATGGATCCAGCGTGGCCCGGAAGCGCAAAATAGTGCTAAAAAAATGCGGTATTTTGTGAGGAGCATAGTCAACGGATCAGGTGGATGGATGGAAGCGACAGTGATGGCAAATTAATAACTGGAGCATATTTAACGCCTAATTATTTTGGAGCCTAATAAAGTCGTAGCCGGGGTGGCCAGTCAACCGTTGGATGCAACCACAGCCATTCACTAGTCGTGCACAGACTCCAACTCCGCGTGATGTGGTTCAGACATGCTTTCGGAGCCAGTAAAAATAATCAGAGAGAGGCAGCTAAGTGGATCTTCGAAGTGGACTACGACGAAGTGGGGATACTCTTGCACCGAGAGAAGCTTAATATATATTTTTATCTATATATATCAGATAAAATAATGTTTACCATTCTCATTTAGGGCAAAGACTGTTGTCGGGCCGGTTCCGATTTAAATATTCTCAAAGCATTTTCTCCCAAATATTTGGGAACAAGATTTTTTCCAATAGCCAAAACCTGTTGATATTCTTCTTTTATGATAGTGCAGCTTGATTTGTATTTTTTGTTTACAATACTCATTAAAATCTTATTTCAAACACTTCCAAATAAGTATTCAAAAGACTTTCACTCCCAACAAGAGATTCCGAGAAGCCAAAACAGTGGCAAGAGTCGATGGACTATTTACAAGCACTAGCTTCTTAAGTAAATTGGCCTAATTAGATATAGATGTGAAATTAAAGTTGCCCGCTTTTGTATAACGGAGACTGATGCTTCAGAGTTGGCTTTTAATCGAATGTATATGTACAGATATATAACTATGTGGTTGTGCGGGCCTAAGCTTGCCCAACGAAGCACAAATTAAAAGGCTAATTTATCACGCTAACCAAAACCCAGCAGATATCCATGTGAAATCCCTTCGCCATTTTGCTTTTGGACAAATGTGCAATTAATTATTCAGCTAACGTATATAATTATTCACTGCTTGCGAGAGTCATGTCAAAGTGCAATTTGACTTGATTCCAACTACATAAAACAATGTTCATGATCTATGCGAAGCGAAATGATCAGAAGGATACGAAAGAATTATCATGCTTCTGAGATACATTCAAAAAGGTGTCCAAGAGTACGAAATTATTTATAACTTTAACATTTAGCACACTTTTGGACAAATTCTTAATGGATCTCAAAACCATGAAGATTCATGTTACCTCCCCGAAAAAATTCGAAGAAAATTCGAAAGTATGCAGTAATATTCCCTAGACTTATAATTACTAAATAATCTATTTATAAGTGTATAATTTTATTTAAATATTCAACTAATAAATTATTCGTGTATAAAGTAAACAAACTGGACTAATTTTGTATTTCTAATTTGTGTGCGGTATATTAAGATTTTACAACTGAATGACAACCCAAAATGTATGCAACCAGGAAAGGCTATATAGCCATGTCAGTTTGTTCATAGATGTTTATCGATAGGGAAAGTCATCCATCAATCCATCCATCTGTTATATAGTCTATCCGATTTTATTTTTCCAATTACTGACATAAGTTAGTCTATCTATCTCTCTGATATAAATATATTAAGCGTAAATTTGATTTTGGTTTCTCTTAACATTGGATTAACTTATTTTATATTAGGCACACCGTGAAAATAGTTTGTTAGATTTAAGGAAGCCCTGTAGTGACTTCCGAAAGCTTATTACGATATTTTCAACAATTCAGTTGTATATCTTTTTTCAGCTATACAATATATTTTTACTTTCACCCTCAAAAAACTATTTTTTTCCCAAATATATTCATCTGGGTTACATCATATTTATGTATGAATATATTCAACAAAAGCATAAATTTGTTTGTTGTTCGGCATAAAAATAAGCCATCAATTTTTTTCCTGTTAAATTATTCCATATTTTAATAATTAAAAATATATATTTTTTTTAGCAATATAAATGCAATTACAAGGATTCTTCACATCGCTTCGAGGCACTGTATATTACCAGTCGCCTTGTAACCCTCTCGATGCTCATTGCTAATCCGAGGACAACCGTCAAGGAATTTTTATACCCTTGCACGGTACTATAATTTCAGTCAAAAGTTTGCAATGCAGTAAAGGAGTCATCTTCGACCAAATAAAGTATAAATATCTTGATCAGCATCAACAGCCCAGTCGATCTAGCGTCTGTCCATTTCTAAAAAATAGTCTTTCAGTTTTGAAGCTATCTGAATGAAACTTTGCAGTTAGTCTTCTATATACTCTCAGTGCCATATATGTCGGAACGAGCCGGATCAGAGGACTATATAATACAGCCTATATAATACAGCTACATAGGAACGATCGAAACATTTTTAGAAAAAAATTCTAACTTTTTCAGTTCAAAAGATTTTCATCAAATTTGATATATGGCCATGGTTTATTTACCTTCTGTGTTAAATTTTATAAAAATCTGACTACTATATCATATAACTGCCATACAAACGATCGTTAAAAATAGAGGAAAATGCAAAACTGTAAATAAAATATGTTTTGGTGAATGAAAAGAAAGCAGGTACTACATCATTATACAAACTTCAGCTTGCCAAAGTTAGCTTCCTTTCTTAGTAATCGTGATTTGTAACTATGAGAAAAATAAATAAATATTTTATATTATTTTTGAAAAATGCTATTTTGCAACTTTGGATAACATCTTGTATTACAACTTGTACCATTACAAGTATTGAAAAATGTTAATGTTTTGCCCCTGACGCAAAAGAAACATTTATATGCATATGTAACTTCTGAAATAATCTTAATTGAGGTTTTTATAGGTACAAAAATCGATCTTAAAATATGTTTGCAGTGGTTTACAGGTAAGGTTAGTTCAGAGCAAAACATAACAGCATTAAATACCAAATAATAACACAACATTTAAAAATAGTGTTGTAATTTTGTTTAAAAATATTTACCTGTATAGGAGTTATAGGGAATCTCTCGAGTCCCGGGTTTTTTTTATACCCTTGCAGGGTATTATAATTTCAGTCAGAAGTTTGCAACGCAGTGAAGGAGGCACCTCCGACTATATAAAGTGTATATATTCTTGATCAGGATCAACAGCCGAGTCGATCTAGCCATGTCCGTCTGTCCTTCTGTCCGTCTGTCCGTTTCTACGCAAACTATTCTCTCAGTTTTAAAGCTATCTGAATGAAACTTTGTAGTTAGCCTTCTATATACTCTCACTCGTATATATGTCGGAACGGGCCGGATCGGACGACTATATCATATAGCTGCCATAGGAATGATCGGAAAATTTTTACAAAAAAATTGTTAACTTTTTCAGTTTTCAATAGAATTGGATCAAATTTGAGATATAGCCATTTTACTATACTCTACAATTTTGCATAAAATTTTATGAAAATCGGACTAATATATCATATAGCTCCCATAGGAACGATCGAGAAATTAATTCAATTAAATTTATAACCTTTTCAGTTTTCAACTGATTTTCATCAAATTTTAGGTATATGCATTTTATATTAGTCTTAAATTTTGTGTCAAATTTCATGAAAATCGGACTATTATATCATATAGGTGCCATACAAACGATCGTTTGATGTAGAGGAAAAATGTAAATCTTTGAATGTAAAACTGCAAATATAATATGTATAGGTGAATACAATGAAAGCAGGTATTACTTCATTGTTTTTTAACACAAATATATATCGTTTATATTGTATGGTTTTTTATTCATAGAAGTTCTATATGCAAGGGTATATAAACTTCGGCGTGCCGAAGTTAGCTTCCTTTCTTGTTTTTATTAAAATTGGAAGTCAAAACCCCTATTTTTGACCGAAGAATAAGTTTCTTTGAAAAATAAAAAATTTAATATGAGAAATAAAAAAAAAACGAAGTGAGTTTCTGTCAAATTACTTGAAGAAGTAATGTTAAATATTTCAAAACAAACCAATCGTTTTGAGTTAGAGAGTTAACATTTACATCGACTTTTAAAATAAATAAAGAGCACCATAACTTTGTCTACTTTGTTATGATCGATGTTAAACTTTTACTTCATATTTTTAAGATATTCGACATTTATAATAAAAGTTACAAAATAAATAGTTACCATTTTCCTAAATCCATACAAATGCAAGTACATATATTTATATTCTTCTCTTGTTATAATTACCTTTAAAGTTTAAACCGTTTAAATATTACCTTAAATGAGCCCAGAAAAACAGCACCTTTAGTTTTGAAATCTTTACAATTTTTTTTATTTGATTTTTGATTTTACACTGTTTTTTGTTTGTTTATGTTTTGTGTTGTAAGCTTGACAATTTTACGATCCACTTTTGTTACGCTCTATCCTTTTACAGGCGTTTCCTCCTTCTAACTTGTTTAAAGTATTTTTAATGTTTTTTGTTTGATTTTATTTACATTTGCGCTGAAAAGGATCGCTTTTCATTGTCGCATTGTCATTAAATGTGTATATATATATCTATTTTGTTGTTTGTAATTTTCAAGTGTGTTTCCTTGTTACGAATCAAAGGCGTATATATAACTATTCGTTCTTATTTATTTACACGAAAGGTCAGAAAAGCAAATTTCTTAGATACAAATATAGGGACAGGGAAGAAAAAAGTTTCTTATTTTTGTGGGATGTTTGTGGAGGGGTAGGGAAGGGGGAGAGAGTGGCGTAAGCTGAGCATAAAACTGTGTTTCTTGCAGGCTGAGCCCCAAAAAGATTGTGTTTGCGTGTTTATGTGGGGTGGTGGTTGATGTATGTGTGTTCTACGCATTGTTTTTAAATTCCTATAAAAAATATATAATTTCGTTTCTCATTCATTTTTGAAATTTTTTTTACTTGCTACCAACTTATTTATGTGACTTGGAAAAATATTTTTCTTGGCACCAAATGAAGCGAAAAAAATTACTTTTAACCGAAAACTATCAATGTAAGTTAATATTAATTTGTTTTTGATTATAAAAGGTTAATTTGTTAGAGTACACTACTATTTTTATTTAAAATAAAAATTTGGAAAATTGTTTTCTGTGTTTTGCGGTCTTGTGTGTGTGGATGTGTATGATTCGCATTTGATAAGATTATATCATTATGTAGACATAGACCCTACATTCATTAGAACAATTTATTAGTTTCTCCTTCGAATATATCCATATATTCTGCACTTGGTAAACTTTTAGATTTAAGTATTTAACTCTTTCACATTGGTGTTGTTGCTGTTAATTTATTAGTGGTGTGTTTGCTGATGTCGCTGCGGCCTGACCTGTGACTTACTTGTTGGGGATGTTGTCTATTTGCTGGTTCCTACATATAGTTAAAGAGATTTAGCCTAGAGATACACACGCCACTTATGTATATATGCATGTATGCTTGTAGTTTTAAATGATAGTTCCATTATTCGGAAATGGGAAAGTCATCCGGGTCGACATCTCCATCGGCATCGTCGGTTTTGCCCTCCAGCGATCGGTACTCATCTGAGTCCTCGCTTATGGCCGCCGAAGTGCCAATAATGGACATCGGTAGCATTGGCTCAACACTGAGGCTGGCCAGGACGCTTGTAGCACTTTCAGTGGGGGTTGTCGTTGTTGTCACAGTTACTGCGGGATTGGGGGGCGG